GCTGTATCAAGCTTGAATGTTGTGTCCATACTTGCCCCAACTGTTCAGGGTTCGACCTCTGCGGTCGTATCAAGCTGCGCCCAGCGAAGCATTTTATTTATATAGTTAACATCATGACAAGTTATAGATCAAGTTAGCATTTTGTTCCAGTACAATGAATGTTTAACCGGTAGGGGACTATGTATTGCCAGGCAATACTCACAGAATGCTTGTTGTTATAGATTGTTGGTTCTGAAGCAAACGATTTTTTTTAAACAAGCACTTCTCCAAAATAGGTAAAGGAGTACAAGCTATATTCTATATTCTATTAACCAGGTTTAATCCACCATTTTCTACATGAGAAAATGCCTGTACCAAGTCAGGAATATGACAGTTGTTATCCATTCGTTTGATGTGTTTGAACTTTTGATTTTGCCGTTTGCCATTGGGGACTTTTCTTTTTGAATTTTCCTCGGAGTTCAGTATTTTTGTGATTTTACTTTTTTCTATGCTGGTGTTGTCTTGATTATACATGTTGTACATAAAGATATAAGAAGCAGTATGTCAACTGTTGATTGTATTGGTTCTATTTCTAGCAGAATATAGGTTGCATCACTGGTAGCCCTGTATCTGTCTGCATGTTTGCAGTTGAATTCTTTCTAAAAGGTCAGCTTTTGTAAAATTCAGGACTTCAATGCCATACAAACTCCTTAGCTAGGCATATGTTTGCCAGAGTTTTGCTGAGATAAACGGTGACATTCCTGTTCAGGACCATGCATGGCATATATAATTCGCGTGGCTGCTTGTAAGTAATCTTCTAGATTTAATTTGTTTTTAAAGTTCTCACAAGTCCAAGATGTTTTACCACTTTCTCCTGGTCAATTTTGTTGTTTCCAATATATACATTTAAATTTAAATTCTAGTTGAAATTTTGTTAATTGCACAATCTCAGAATTAGTTGGATTGATACAAAGTTCGTGTATGTCATATCATGAACTATATATTGACGTTGTAGAACCTAAACTTCATGTTCCTTGATAGCCAGTCTAGCAATGCCATCCGCACAAGTCAGAGTCAAAATATTAATGTTGCCTATTCTCGCAACCATGTTTGACCTCTCTGATGCCTCTAAAAATTAAATGTTATGAATATAGTGTAACTAACTGGCTGTTTCTGTATTGACCCTGTTATTGATTCAAGGTTAGCTGTATTCACCCCGAGAGTCGAGGGCCCATTGCAGCTGATCAATAATCTATAACGGGATCAGAAACAGCCAGTTTATAACATTCTTTTTAAAAAGATTCTATCCGTTCGAGCTATAAAATAAGAAACTTACCTTTAAATACACTGTGGGAACAGGAAATCACATTTGAACTTGCCTTTTCATGGTTCACTGGTAAACGTTTTTGTAATACAATCTCCTTTGCAAGGCGTAAGTCTAGAATTGAGAATGGGAACGGGGAATGTGTCAAAAAGACAACAACCCGACCAAAGAGCAGAAACAGCCAAAGGCCACCTGACCAATGGGTCTTCAATGTAGCGATAAAATCCCGCACCCGGAGGCGGCTTCAGCTGGTCCCTAAGCAATAAGGTATACTAGTTCAGCGAAACGGATGCCACCGTCCGAAAAATATAAATGAACTAAAATTAAATAACACACAATTCTACAAAAGGCTAGTGGTTCCTGACTTGGGACGGGTGCATAAATGCGACGGGGGTAAACTTGTTTTGTGAGATCTCAACCCTACTTCTTTACCTCTAGCCAATTAATGTGGAATAAAAAAACACATGTAGCAATACGCACAATAAAACTCAGTTTAAAAGAAGCCCGAGTCCGATGTAAAAATAGGAAACAGAAGAAACTAAGCAAAATGTTTTCGAATTATGAGTTTGAATATTCCTTTGGTATATTTCGCCTCTCTTTTACATTAATGGACCGATCAAGTAAAAATACTGAGGCTACTATATCCCACAATAATTGATTTATAAGTCTCAGATGTATTTAAACGTCGGAATGGTCATGAACGATTCATTCAAAACCTGAAATATTTCCTAGAACAGTAAGCTAATCATTTCAATGGAGGGACGTTTATGAAAGGTAAAATAAAAGTGCAAGATATATTTTGTCTGTATTTACTGTTCAAACCATATAAACACGTCAATGAAATGAACGCATAAAGCCATCCTCTTCTATATTGATAGACTTTTGATCTTCTTCTGCCTTAATAGACTTTTGGACAGGTGAGTTAAATGTTGCAATAATTTGAAGAAGAATCGTGACCAGCCTAGTTTGCCTATATGAGTACCAATGTTTTTAAAAAAGTGAAATTAGTACAGAACACTCGTCAAACAGAGCGGAAACTGGGTAAGATTATCTCCCTTTCAAGTAATACTCCTCGGGTTTCACGCATTATTCTGTTGAAATGATATGAGATTTAAAAAAAACGTTCTGGTAAATAGAAATACTATATTATGTTGCTCTTGTTGCACACAATGTGTGCCTGAGTGTATTAGTTATAAACTTGAAATCTTGTAAACTTGTTTTGGATTGCCAATGAGACAACTATCCACCAGATTTCAAATGCAGTGGATGTAAGCAATTATAGGCAACCATACGGCTTTCAACAATGAGAAAAACTCATACCGTATACTATATGAAGTATGTTTGATATGAATAAAGGGACAAGCCGGCAGGAAGAGGAGCACAGTTGGTTCCCATGAGAATGCCGATTGCTTGTTGAAAAACACGTTCTCCAAACGAAACAAATATATTGTCAGTCAAGAAATCAAGTATCTTGATAATCTCAGTTTCAGAGTAACTTTGTTTCATTGCAAGACCGATATAGATGGGCGATGTCAAAGAATTTGGTAAATGATTTGGCCTGATAATTAAATAAGACCCAGACATGTTCAGCTTAAACTGAAATTGTAAGAAATAACAAATGTAATTGGTTTATTGCTGAAATACATTTAATTCAAACTTCTTGAAAAAATGCATTAAAAAAAAAAAACAAATTTAAAATTGTTTAAAAAAGGGGTTTAAAATTCTGTTAAATCCCCATCCCAGTAGCACCCACCCTTTAATCTTTCTATAATATGGATGTGTTGTTGCATGATAAATTTCAGTGTTTATTATATCATGGGTTCACCGACGGCTCACTTACTAGTATGAAATATAAAGAAAACTGATCTAGGCAACAACGTCTCAACTTTTAAAGAATTAATCATGGTAGTGGTTTTGAATGATGAATGTGATAATCGTAACATTTTTCCGTGACAGATTTTATGTACATATAAGAATTAACATTCAACAATTTAAAAGAAGAAATAAAAGGATAATTACATTATTTTTCGGATGAAAGTTCTTAGTTCAAAACGCCAATGTCGCATATTAAAAACAAAAATAAAAAAAAACCACGACGTCGTATAAAAACACATGTGAAATCAACCATTTACTGCAACTTGACCTTTACTTTTCTCCTACTTTACAATTAATACATTTCTTTACCACTTCTGACTTTGTTTGTTATTTTTATTAATAAAAGTTCAAAAGATGACTTATGGTTTTATAATTTTTTTGTGTAGTCTTTATAAAAATTAGCATCAGACACAAAAAGAATCAATGTGTTTTTCAGCCATACATGCATGTATATATATTTACACAGGCACTTGACTCAGATTTTTTTAACCTATATACTTCGATCAGTTTATTAAATGCTGATACTTGATAAAAAAGATACACCTGTGGTTTTTACAGCCATAATGACAATGTTTGCTATGTATTTATAATGTTATTAATGATTACCATGATAGGGTATGATGTATGATTGCAAATGAGACAACTAATCCCACAAAGACTAAAAGACAAACATGTGAACAACTAGTCTGGAATAACGTATTTTATTTATTAGTTGTAATTGCCTTTGGCTTTCAGTAACTGCGAGTACTCTTATGTCGGTGCCTTGTGTTTATTGTTTTTATGTTAGTGGTTTTTGTGACTCGTACCGATCTGTTGAGTTAAATCAACTGCAACTGATTTTTCAAGTACTGATCTTGTGTTTTGTTGTTACAGCACTGTCTCATGTTAGGGTAGGATTGAGCGCTCACAAACGTGTTTAACCCCGCCAACTTCTTTCTGTGCCTGTCCCAAGTCAGGAGCCTGTTGTACAGTGGTAGTCATTGGTTCATGTCTGTCATATTTGTTTTTCGTAAATTGTTTTTTTTTTCTCTCTCATAAATTAGGCTCGTTTGAAGTGTTTCACATTTTTCATGTCGGGGCCTTATAGCAGTTTAATCTATACAATATGGTATCTTCTCACGTACGGTGACCTATAATTGTTTACAACCACTTCATTTTAACTATTGACTGGTGGATAGTTGTCACATTGGTAATCATGCCACATCCCATGTTTATCTATAAATATTATCAGAGACATATGTCTCTGAAATCATGATAGAGACCAGTGATAATCCTTAAAGAGACAATTATTATTAGTATTTATTTTTTAAATCGATCTGAAATGATCTAACTAATATTTTGTGTCTAATATTTCGCCTCTTTTTTTATACAAATCAAATATCAGACAAACCGTCATTATTTTTCTTATCTGAAATATTTATATTTTTCTAAATTGTTAAATGGATATATAAATAAATAATTGTTAAGTGACAAACAGTAATATTTGGAAAAATAAAGGAGAACATAATTACTGGTGATAATATGGCAAAATATATCAAATCAATAATTCGAATAGCTATTTTTAACTTATTTAGCGGGTATTTCTAAGGGAAATGTAAATGTACTAGCAGGTGCTTTTAGCATGTTTGATCACGTGATTTAGTTACTATGGTCATAACCTCTGCTCCAAAACAATGACTGTTTACATCCGGAATACACAAAATGTAGTTCTAATGAACATGCTAAAAAATGTCATCGATGGAGAAAATACTGGAAACATTAAGTTTTTTTTTAACTCTTTAAACACTTCGTTTTATTCGTTTTAGATAATATTTAAATTTCTAGTCATATTAATCGCAAAACTTGTGCATTCTGCGGACGAATTCTTCACAAAAAAGAAAACCATCATGGCGACGTCTTTTTCTACACTTCATAATGGATAATGAAAAACGAAGAAAAAAGTCAAAGAGAAAATTATTACAATGTTATAACCATATGTAGAATAATATGGCAGACAAGGAACAATTCAGTGAACTATTTTGTTTGATAACATAGCAAATTGTATTGAAGTGAGACGTATAAAACTTGACGTGCCCGTGCGATTTTGCAGTGTTGTTAGTTTTATTTCATTCACACGATCGCACATGCATTTACCTCCATAGCACATAATTGTTATATGTAATAATAAGCATAAAAGCCGTATGCTAAAACGTGTCCCCTCTTATCTAGTCACACCTAAAAGCCAGTGATAGCAGCTTGCATTAACTATTCTCTATGACAATATGGAGAAATACGAGAAAATTAGCAAAATTGGAGAAGGATCCTACGGTGTTGTGTTCAAATGTCGGAACAGAGAAACAGGAGCACTTGTTGCTATCAAAAAGTTCATGGAATCAGAGGACGATATGCTTATTAAAAAGATAGCAATGAGAGAAATAAGAATGCTAAAGGTTTGTATTATGGAACTAAAATTTGCATACTGTACATGTAAATTCAATAGGTAAAATGAAAAGACTTTATTTCTATTACACTTATACGCTTGATTCAATTGTTATCTTTCCGTCAAAGTGTTTTATTTTCAGTTGCTGTTATACGTTATTTGATGTCATTTGTGCATTTGTTTGGCATAAATATGCACGTCAGTACATTGAACAAGGGATGAATATTTTAATGGGCATAACTTTCTGATAAACATGTTAAATGATAAAATTAATATATTTCTATAAAAAGGGTTGGATTTAGTACATAAGAATAAAGACGAGTATTTGAAAAATGTCAAGCTGGCATAATGGCTTTGTCAGTTCAAAGATGCTGGGATCCATTTAGTCCATGAAACATTTAAATGATGATAGAAATCAGCGTAAAGCAAAAAGAGTTCTTCCCGTAATGGAAATGATATGAATCATATGTATTGTCTGTCACATCACAGCTGTTCCCTTAATATTTTGACGTCACAAAAGAAAAGTGATTATTGTTTAACAACCATAGCTCAAGTGACGTGCAATAGCCATAAGGTCTATTATGATTAGATAAAATCATTCTTTGGTGGCCTCAGTGACTGAGTGGTCCAGGTAGACGAACTACCTAAGTAGTCCAACTGCATACATTATTGTGTACCATCCAACTTTCACGATTTATGGGGGATTTCCCCCATGAGAGGTGGTGACATGAATTTTGAAATTCTTTATTATATTAACTGAACAACTCAAAATACAATGTAGGCATTGAAATACTCATTCAAACAATTTAGTAGTAGATTAAAAACTTTAATGACAATATAAGAGGAGCATTAGGTATAAGACTGAAATATATATCTTTAAGCAATTATAGGCAATTGTACAGCCTTCAACAATGAGAAAAACCTATACCGTTACAATCGTACATGTTCAATGTATAGTCAGCTTTAAAAGGCCCTGACATGAAAAACATTAACCATTGAGTTCAATTGAGAAAACTAACTCAGTACGTAACTGCCTAATTTTTAACAAAACAATTTACCCAAAAACAAATATGACAAGACATGAACCAACAACAATCACTGAACTACAGGCTCCTGACTTGGGACGGCCACATCAAGAATTGGACAGGGTTAAACATTTTTGAAGGAGCCAACCCTCCCCTAACCTGGGACAGTGATTTAATGGCACAACATAAGAACAAACTATAAAAATCAGTGGAAAAAGGCTTAACTCATCAGATCTATATACATTGTATATTAAGCAGAAAAACATCGAACAAAAACACAGACCAGACTTGGCAGGCAATTTATACATCCCTCACAACAAAAAAGACAATGTACAGATCTGAGAGTACTCACAGTTACTGTCAGTGTCAGCTAGCTAGTTCAAAGCCAATAGCAACTTATAAAATAATCATGTATCCACTGTAAGACTCAATTCACAAATATCAATTAGTACACAGGGCTGTAACTAGGCATTGGCAACAGATGAGGCAGGGTCTGGGGGCCGCCGACTGAGATCCTCAGGAAAAGAGTGGGCCCAGGGGGTCAAAACCCCCTGCTGAAAATTGTAATATGAGGGTCCGTAATAAAACTTGTTACATCTTGTCTGTGAATGCTAGTTCGACTTTTCTTGTGCCACTTTGATGCCATCGTTTGAGAACAGCTTCTGTGTTCACTTGTCCGACATTGGACGTACGATGGACGTGAAACATGGCTAAAGAACATAATATGTCCTCAGTCATTGCTGACCTTTCACGAAATAGAATTTCCTTTATAATATAAGTTCCAAATGGAAGAAATATTCTGTAATATTTTTTCCACTTGAACAAATATTACAGAATTTGTTCCCTACAGAATAAAAGGTATAGAATATTTGTTCCAACAGGAAAAATTATTATAGCATTGTTTATAATGAACTTGTGGTAGGTGGAGCAAATATACATTGACAGACCTAGGCCTGCACCATGTCTTTAAATTTAAACGTTGATGGGCAGTAAAAGATCTCTCACATGAGCAAGAACCGACCGGCAATGTCAATAGTAGCTTCAAAATTGTAAGAATATTTTGATACAGGTCCCAATAAGCATATGCAATTGAGTCTGCAAGAGTCTTAACAAACTCTAAGTTGGATCTGGTACATTTAGCCACCCACCTGTCATTTTCTTGTCCCAGATCATTTGGATATAGCAAGTCATTCATGTACATGTATTCTGTTTTCATATCATAAATCATTGTAAATAATTTCTAGATTTATCTTGTTTACAAGAGCTGGTATGAGGTATACGTAATAGCCATAGAAAATTGTCTTCAGTTCATCTGGAAAATTGCAAATTTAAATGTGAAATGATATGGTCAATGAAAGGAAGAAAGTAGTTAATACGGTAATGATATTCAATACTTTCGACTGGTGTGTTTGCACTGTTGGTCTAACTTGTTCAAGAGACTTTCCGCAGGAAATAATAATTGTAGAACCAACATGACCAAATGCAGGTTCACTGGCGATGGTAATCAGGTAGAGAGTTCGATACCTAATGTAGTTGAAATAAAAGTACAGAAGCTGCACGTCAACATTAATTACTATTCAAAGTATGCATTACTTAATTCTTGACATAAAAATGCAATGATGTTTTCAACCCTGCATGCCTAGCTTTCTCCATTTTCTTTTTTTTTTTTCTTATTAATTTTTTTTGCCAGAAAATCAGACGAGGCAAATGTGTGTATTTTCTGGAAAAGATTTTAAAAAAAACCTCATTCGTCCGTCTGTACCACTTGAGGTTAAAGTTTTTGGTCAAGGTAGTTTTTATACGCCCGTTAATGGGACGTATTATGGTTGACCGTCTGTCCGTCCGTCCGTCGTCAACATGTAGGACATTAATTGAAAAACGCTTTAACCAATATGCATGAAACTTTGGTGAATTGTTTATATCTATTGACGTGAGCTCCCTTTTGTTTTTTATAAATTTCAGATTTACCATTTCCGAGTTTTGGGGTTTTATTCATTAAAAAAGGGGGGATTTTCCTGTTTTCGGACAATAACTCAAAAATAATTTCACCAATTTGCATGAAACTTTTGTGAATTGTTCATATCTATTGATGTGAGCTCCCTTTCATTTTTTATAAATTTCGGATTTACCGTTTCCGAGTTTTGGGGTTTTATTCATTAAAAAAAGGGGGGATTTTCCAGTTTTCAGACAATAACTCAAAAACAATTTCACCAATTTGCAAGAAACTTTGGTGAATTGTTTATTTCTATCGACATGAGCTCCCTTTTGATTTTTATAAATTGTAGACTATACATTTCCGATTTATGGGGTTTTATTCATTACAAAAAGGGAGATTTTCCAGTTTTGGGACAATAACTCAAAAATGCTTTTAGCATTTTTTATGAAACTTTGGTAAATTGTTTATATCTATTTTTGTAAGCTCCCTTTTGATTTCTATAAATTTTAGATTTTATGTTTGAGTTATAAGATTTTATTTGTTTATAGTCATAAGATTTTATTTGTTTATAGTCTGACAACAGATTTACTAAGTATTACACAACAGCACAGTGTATTGCACAACAGCAAGAAATCTTTCATATAACCAATTTCAAGTTCATTGACTACATTTATTCAGAAACCTATAATATATCAAATATTTAATTACAATCCAAATTCAGACCTGTATCAAGCTTGAATATTGTGTCCATTTTTGCCCAAACTGTTCAGGGTTGGACCTCTGCGGGCGTATCCAGCTGCGCTCAGCGAAGCAGTTTTTTGATGAAGTTGAAGTCCAATCAACTTGAAACTTAGTACACATGTTCCCTAAGGCTATGATATGATCTTTCTAATTTTAATGCCAAATTAGAGTTTTGACCCCAATTTCAAGGTCCACTGAACATAGAAAATGATAGAGCAAGTGGGGCATCCTAGTACTATGGACACATTCTTGTTTATAACTACTTGCCTCTGGTACATTGTATGCACCATATTTTCATTAAATCGTATACTAATTAAGAACATGAAACATCTCTAAAAAAACTAACTTTTTTTGTTTCTTTTGGTGGTTGGTGAGAACAATGACCAAATTAACACAAGAGGTATCCAGTTCAATTGTTCATATGCAAACTTGAAGTCTGATCCCAACACCAGCTTAAAGCTCAAATGTTTATATTGGCTGTAATTAAAATAACGAAGTAAAATTCAAAACAGTATTGCTCTGCTGTAAAACTGACTACCGGGTAAGCATCTACATTGTTCCTAAAAGAATAAAATTATATAAATGTTTTATGTTAGATACATTGTACATGTATTGATTACCTCCTAATTCAAGTGATTGCCCTAAAATAAAGAATGTTAGAGTTGCCTTCCATCTTGATATTTATTATATATGTAGATAGACAGAAACTGTAAAAAGCAAAAAATATCAGCAATACAAGAACTATAAATATAGTTTGTGTGCTTCATCTATAGGATGGCAACTAAAAAGGTTTGTGATTTTCGTCCAGGTTGATCAACCAGCATCAGCATGGCTGCAGTGTCTAAAAAAAGAACATTCAATCATGTAGGAGTCAAATAAAATGAGAATGGAAACGGGAAACTAAAGTATTGGCTAATATTTCTAAAACTATAGCAATTAGAAAAAAACTGACAAAGGATCCGGATAGAAAACAGGATCAGCACAACATAACAAGTTCTATTACCCTGAACATTTTGGAAAAATCTGTCCATCTGTTCTGGAGTTATTGCCCCTTAAATGTTGATTTAAAAAAAATTTGGCATTTCCTTGCCATCGTTTCAAAAACTAAAAAACTAGCTTAAAATTGTGTCACTGTGTCAAATGCAAAAATGATTAGCATGACAAGATTTATCCACCCTAAAAATTGTTGAAAAATGTAACTACTTTTATTTGTTATTGTCCCTGAAATATCAATTTTTCTCTCTCTAATTTTTAGCAGGTTTAGGCTATTATCATGAAAACTGTAAGAGCTAGGGTAAGTGTAAACTG